TGGAACTGGGGAGTCCCGGTAAAGAAAGGGTAGTGTGTTGGGGGCAGTTTTGTAAGGGAGCAGGAGTTCAGGAGCGTTGGCGGCTGGGATGGAAGGACGCGGTGGGAAGGGCATTCGTTGCCTCCTTCTGGCTTTGCCTTGTCTGGCCCAGTTGGAGAAAGGGAGGGGTCTCCTGAGCGGAGGGCCGCTGCCTCCCCCTCTATTCTCAGGCTCGCTCAAGGGCCTGGAGCAGACCGGACATTCCTAAGTCTCCGACGGGAAACCAGGAAATAGACCAGGGGGCCAGCCTCCCTGCAGCCTGGGCCCGTTCTTCTAAAGCCCGCCCTGCCCCAGGACTTGCCCGGAAGAGCCCTGAGGTGTCAGAGGCTCCAATCCCCAGGCTTCTGAACACTGCTTCGTCCCTGGAACTTCCCCTCCACACTTCCCTCCCTCCCTCCTCGCTCCTCCCCCACAGCCTGTGGGATCAGACCCATCCCCTTGAGCGCCAGACCTGTACAAGAAATGGTTATGCACTGACTTCCAGGTCAAACTCATGATCTATCCCCCTACACCTGGCTCTCTTCCCAAGTTCCCTCTTGATTAATAGACCAGCATCCATCTGGTTGTTTGACCTGGAAAGCTTAGAATCATCCTTGACACTTTCTTTCACCTTCCCCATGGCCAACCCGGTTTTTCTCCTCTTGTGTCTGGGTTCCCACCACTCACTGGCTAATTGCCGGTCATTTCTTATCGGAGTTTATGTTCTTGTCTGGACTCACTACTGTCTCTCTACTCCCCCTCTCTGCTCCATCCCTTCTCTAGGTGGTAGCCCTGGTAATCTTTCCAGGTTGTCAATCTGATCAGGCCACCCACCTGCTGAAATCTTTCCATCGCTTCTAGTGCTTTTGCAATAAAGACCAAATTCTTAGCATGGCACATAGGGTCCTGCTTGGCCTGGTCCTTCCTACCTCTCTGGCACTACCCTCCCTCTCACTCTCTTTGTTCCAACTACAAGGGCCGTGCTCGTCACAGGGCCTTTGCACATGCTGTTTCTGCTTCTGCCTGGAAACCCACCTTTCTGCCTTGTTAACTCCTACTCCTTCAGATAGAGGCTCCAGCATTGCTTTCTCAGGGACACTCTCCTTGACCTCCCTGGCCAGGTCAGATCCCCTACTGTTGACTCTCCTGGCACCACATACTTCTTCTTCACATATTTGTCATAGCTGTAATTGTTGATTTGTTTGCAATATTATGTAATTAAGGTCTGTTTTTTTCCATTAGACTCTAAATTTTATGAAGATAAAGACCGTGTCAATTTTCACTCACTGGAAGTCTCCAGCACCTATATGCCTGGGCACATACCAGGTGCTCAATGTTTCTTGAATAAATAAGCAAATTAGTGTGGCATATTTCTCCCGATCTCTATTTCCTGAGCCTAAGCCTCTATTGTCTCCTCTCTGGACCTCAGCAATCACTTCTTCAGCGGTTTCCCAGTTTACAATCAAGCCTCTACCGGTTTCCCAACCAAGAGCCAGAGTGGTCTAATAAAAATGCCAGGCTGACCATGTCACCCTTCCCACCCCATTTTACAGCCTCCCATGGCCCTCGAGATAAAATCCAAACTCCTGAACACAGCCTTACAAGGACTTGCATGGTCTGGCTCACCTCATCCCAGACACCACCTTCTCAACAGACCTTTCTTAATTCAGCAAATATTGATTGAGTGCCTATTGTCCCAGGCCTGAGGACTTAGTGGTGAGTAAAAACAGACTCCTTCAGGGCTTGGGTGGCTTAGGTCGTGTTAAGCCGTCCGGCTTCTCAGCCAGGTCACCATCTCAAGGGTTCATGAGTTCGAGCCCCGCTGGGCCGGGTTTGGGCTGATGGCCTGTGAGCCTGGAGCCTGTTTTTGTTTGTGGGTTCTCCCTTTCTCTGCCCCTCGCTCCAGCACCATGTTTGTCTTCTCTGTCCTAAAATAAATAAACGTTGGAAAAAAAAAAATTTAAAAAAAAAAAAAAACAGACTCCTTCAGATCTGCTTACAATACTCCAGATACTTCTCCTTTCCATGCAGGGCCTTTGCACACATGCTTTTCCGTTTGTCTGGGAAGTGCTTCTCTCTTCTTTCCTTTCTCCACGTTGTTGACTTTGCCCAGTCAACGCCTACTCACCTACCAGATCTCAGATTAAACACCGTTTATTCAGGGATATCTTATCCAACCTTCAACCTAAGGGTTCCTCTGTTACAGGCTGTAGTTGCTCCCTCTATTCTACCTTCCTAGCACTGACTGCATTTCCTATTTTTAGATTTGTGTATTTGGTTAATACCCACCCTCCCCACCAGGAGTTTCCATGTCTGGTTTTTGCTTACTATCATATCCCTCTGGTGCTTAGCTGGTGCTCCACAATATACTGAATAAAGGAGTGAATAAATTATTCTTCTACAAGAGTATTCCGGGGTGTGGCATGGGGTGTGCCTGGGTGGCTCAGTTGGTTAAGTGTTTGGCTCAGGTCATGATCTCATGGTTTCCAGGGGCTCAAGCCTCCCATCAGCCACGCCTGTGCTGACAGCTCAGAGCCTGGAGCCTGCTTTGGATTCTGTGTGTGCCTCTGTCTCTGCCCGTCCCCTGCTTATGCTCTGTCTCTCTCTCACAAAAATAAACATTAAAAAAATAAAATAAGTAAATACTGCTTTCCTCATTAAAAAAAAAAAAAAAGTATTCAGAGGGTACTGCTGCTTGGAAAATGTTGGTGCCTCTGCCCAGGTGTGAATATGAGCTGGGGCTTAGGCTGGGGGCTTGGAGAGGTATGCAAAGGATCTCTCTCCCAGGAGAGGGCCTAGAAGCTGTTAGTCCTGTCCTGGCGTCCTTGCGGTTCCTGATCCCCAATACCTGAGATGTGGCGCCCCTAGCCCTCCCCATCGCTCACACCGCCCAGCAACCCTGATCCTGTGCCCCTAGTCCTCTAGGGCTGTCAGCATCCTGATCCCTCCACCTGCAACTCTTCTCCCTGTTCTTTTTCACATGGCTGGCTCCTCCTCAACCTTCAGGTCAAGTCTAAATGCTGCTTCTTTAGAAGACACCTTATCTGAGTAAGTTTCCCTGGTATCACTCAGCCTTTCATCCAGTTCATTTCCTTCGTTGAAATAGAAATGCGTTTTACATTTATTGTCTGTGTCCCTAGAAGAGTTAGAAGCTTTTGATTACATCAAACAGAAAATCTGATTGTGTTGGCATAAACAATAAGTTGTCCAGTGGTAGGACTGGATTTGGGGTTGGTTAACTCAGTGGTCTTCTCAAGGACCTAGGTTCTCCCCATCTCCCTGCTCTGCCACCCTTGATGTTGGCTTTGTACTCAGGTTGGTCAGCAGGATGGATGCGGCAACTCCAGGCATCACAGTCGGACTTCATATCATACTGAGTTTTCCCCTTGTTATGTGTCTTAGTTAACGATTACCGTGTAATGAATCCTCACAAAACTGAGCAGTCTAAAATGATATTTATTATCTCACAGTTTCTACGGGTTAGAAACCCAGGAATGGCTTAGCTTGTTGGTTCTGGCAGAGGGTCTCTCACGAGGTTATTGTCAAGCTGTTGGCCAGGGCTGAAGTCATCTGAAGGCTTGACTGAGGCTGGAGAAGCTGTTGGCATGTGGCCGTTGGCAGGGGGGCTTTGGTCCCCTGGCATGCGGACCTCTCAGGCTGTTTGCACTGTAGCAGCCACTCCCTCCAGAGTGGGTCCAAGAGCAAGGGGCGACCACAACAGAAGCTGCCGTGTCTTATATGACCTAACCTCTTGTATGACACGCCATCACTTCTGCTGTATTCAGTTGGTCACCCAGCCCTGGCACAACATGGGAAGGGATTACACAGGGTATGAACACGAGGAGGTGGGGACACTGGGAGGTCCTCATTTTTTTTCTCCTAGAAGCCCAAGAGACTTTTCTTTATATCTGCCAGCCACAATTGTGTCACATGCCCGTACCTAAACCAGTCATTCATGAGGGGTTTGGGACCACCATTTTCAGCTCATTACAATCATGATTCACGCCTGGGCCTGGGATCTATCTCTAACGAAGCACAGAGGTGGGGGGTGGGAGGATCCAGGAGGAAGATGGCCACCTGAACGAAATCATTTCTGTTCGGGCAATGGGAATGGATGTTGCATAGGCAACTCAGTGTCCATGACACTCACCTGCTAGACTGTAAACTCCATGAGAACAGAGGCTACGTCTTTTCCTGTACTGGATCCCTAGCATGTAGTCCACTGCCTGGAACCATATGTGTTAAATGGATGAATTCGTGACAAGATGGAGACTACAGGCAGGAGGTCTAGGACTGGTACCCAGGGGTGGATATCGCCAGGCCCTGGCTCCTAAAGTTCTGAGAATGCAGGAGGCACCTGCTCCCACCCACCGCCAGCCCCAAGGATAGACAGGACTGGCAGAATTATTCTCACTTTATTTCTGGAGAAGTTTGATCAGATGCAATAACACTGATTCCAGGCGAGGGCAGGGGGCATGGGTACCCCTAAAGCAACCAGTATTCTGTGGCCCAAGGTGCCCCCCCAGCCCCAGCCCTGGGTTCCCCCTCAGTTACAGTTAAATAGAGAGAGGAAGATCACCCCAGGGAGTCTTGGGAGGGTCTGCCTCCTGCACCCGCCCCCTCCACGCAGAGGAGTCTGAGCACAAGCTATTTACAGTATTCACATCCACTGTACCCCACCAAACCAAGGCAAATACTACAGGCGGCCCTTCCCCAAGGGAGGTGGCCAGAGAGGCTGTGAGTGTATGTGTGTGTATGGGAGGGGGGTGTCCGCACGTGCGAGCACACGAATGCACTGAGGGGCAGGGCCTGGCTCCAGCCAAAGAGACATCAGTCTATAAGGTGCAGATTAAAAATAACAGAGGACCCACCCCAAGGGGCCCAGGCCACTTCCGGCTTTGTTCTGTCTCTTTCTCTTCCAGACGTCCTGGTAGATGATGCAGAGGAGCCCTCATAGCTATGCCTGGATCCAAGGCGACCCCTTAAAGGACTTCTGAGGGAAAAGCAGGAGGGGAAACAGTCAAGGCAAACCAGGCCTCCTAGCCCAGATGTCTGGGGGTCTTTAGGGAGGAGCGTGAGAGGGCCTGGGGCAGAGCTGGAAGAAAGGGCAGGGCTGGGGAGTCTGAGGAAGGCTGCTGGGAGAAAAGTCGGGGATCCCTACCTGTGACCTGTGGGGGCTGTACCACAGCTTTCTTGAGGAAAGCTTCTGCCTCAGCGAAGGGCAGGAGTGTCTCTGGCGTTCGGCCCAGGCTCTTGTCCCCAGAGGGCCCCTTAGGGGAGAAGCCATTCTCCTGGTGTGCAGGGAGAGGCTGCAGGCCGTTCACCAGGGATCCTGGTGACTCTTTGCTTGGCAGGCTGTGGATGCAGGGCCAACACTCAGGCACCTCCCACCCCAGGACCACTCGGGCACCCCACAGCCCCAGTGTCATCCTGCCTCCCTGCCCAGGGCCTCCAGGATCCAGATCGTAGCAGATACCTCCACTGAGGCTCCTGGGGGGCCAGCTCCTCTTTCTGCACTGCCTCCTTCTGCAGCCCTGAGGGCCGAGCCTCCCCGGCTTTCACAGGGTCTATCACAGGGAAGGAATGCCCATCAGTTAGGGGCTGGGGAGAGCAGGAAGTTTGAGGATGGGTGGCCAAGGGGACAGAGATGAGAGGAACAGGGCATTTACCTGGGCTGAAATTGTTGGCTTTTGCCTCCTTTCTGTCCAGCTTCTGCTTTGAATTGGAAGAGCAGTCAGACTCAAGGGATATCTGGCCCCAAGGGACTGAGGTGCTGAATTCGCTTTCCGGCCCAGACCCTGAGGGCGCCCCACCCCCAACCTCTTTTCCTAAACCCACCGCCCTCCTCCCCCGCTGCCAGCACTGCCTTTGGGGAATCCTGACCTTGGTTTCAGCAGCTTCTGACTTCCGAGTCCTCTTCATGATCTCCTCCAGACGCTGTTGGGACGCCCCACACCAGTTAGACCCAAGTGCTGCCCTATTCCTAAACCTCCCACCAGCCAGCCCCTCATCCTGTCAGGGCCCTTCCAGCTCATACCAGTCCTTTCCAGGCAAGGAACCAGAACTCACCCCACCTGCTTCTTGGTCTACCCTTTACAAGCCCAAGGCAGGGCCCACTCCCCCAGCCTCCACTATCCCAGTAACTGAAGCCAGAACCCAGCACAGAGCATGGCCCCGCCCACATAAGCACACAGCACGGCTCTGCAGACCTTTTTGCGCTCTTGCCGCTCCTGCTCCTCCCGCTGGAAGTGCTTTTCCCGCTCCAGACGCTGCCGCTCCGCTTCTTCCCGGGACCGAGCTTCAGCCTCTTCTTTCTGCCCAAGGTTCCCGCGAGCTTTAAGCAGCTGGACTCCAGCCTTCCCTCCGGGCCAGCCTCCCAGCCTGCCACCAGGAGGCGCCCACACCCAGCCCCGCACCGCCCGCCCGCCAGCCGGCCCGCGGGGGCACCTGCTTCTGCAGCCGTTCCTGCTCCTCCTGCTCTGCTTGCGCCTTCTCTCGGGCCTCCTGCTCCTCCCGCCTCCGGGCCTCCGCCTCCCTCTCGGCCCGAGCCTCGGCCTCCCGCGCCAGCTGCTCTTCTCGCATGCGCCTGAGGGACAGAGGAAACTCGGGTTCCGTCCTGCGCTTCTTTCACAGCCTCCATAAGGGCCCCTTCAGTCCCCATGGGTTGACTCACTTGTCCCTTTCTGCTTGCAGCCTCCGCTCCTGTTCCTCGCGCTCCCGCTGCTCCCGTGCTTGGCGCCGCTTCTCAGCCAGGAGTCGAGTGGCCTCTTCTCGGTCTGTGGTGCCCGCCATGGGTTTGCTAGGGGTCGCTGGTGGAGCAGGGGCTGGGGGTGAGGTCAGGACAGCAGTATCTGGAGTGGGATCCAGGACCAGGAGTCAGCACATACCAGCTCAGGCACCTCCATCACCACTGCATGCCCCTGCTTCCTGGACCTCAGGGAGACCCACCCACCCAACTTCTGCCATCAACTCAGAGTGGTGTGGTTCTCCTCTCTGGCCTGTGTTCTGGGCCTAGACCTGCTGAGGGCAAGAGCCTCCTCTGCCTGTCTGCCAACACCCAGTCCCCAGGCACCCCTGGGCCCATATCTCTGACCACCTCAGCCTCACAGACAAAGTTGGCTTCCCTGGCAACCCACCTGCAGGGATGTCGGCTGTGGGCTGCTCCTTCTGGGGCTGGGCTGGGGTGGGGGAGGGCACAGGTGAGGGAGCTGGTGAGGCAGGGGCTGCTGGCTCCTTCTCGTCACCGGTCTTGCCCTTGTTCTGGTTCTTGTCCACAGGTCCTGCCGAACTGAGGCTCTCCTTTGCCTCGTCCTTCCTCCGAACCCGCCCCTTGGGTGATGCAGTGGTGCCCCGAGGGGACGGTGGTTTGGGGGGCAGAGCGTGACCTGGCCCTGGGCTGGGGCAGGGAGAGGCAGGCCTGTGCCAGGATGTGGAGGGAGAGGATGGCCGAGCCTTGCCTTTGGGACTGAGAGAAAAGGAAAAGTTAGGCCCTGAGCACAGCAGCCACACACTTACACACCCTCTGAGCATGTCATTTCCTCAAGGAAGTATCCCCCTCTCCCCACAGGGCTGGCTCAGCCCTGCCCACCTTATATGCTCTCACAGAACCAGATTATTTCCTTTTAGAGCATATCCCAGTTCGTGATCACATTCTCATTTGTGAGTCTTTACTGTCTGTCTCACCAATAGCCAGGAAGATTGAAAAGAGCAAGAACCAGCCCTGGTTTGGCTCATCAATGTGTCCTCAGCCCTCAGAACAGTACCTGGCGGGTCCAATTCATTCATTCAGCAGGTATTTGTTGACTGCTTACCAAATGCCAGGCACTGTTCTAGGTGCTTCAGTCATCCAAACACTCGTACAAAACAGAATAAATCTGCCCTCAAAGAGCTTTCATTTTCACTTTAGGAGTGGGTGCCCAACAAATATTTGTGAATGGATGGATGGATGGATGGATGGATGGATGGATGGATGGATGGCCTGGTGATGTGCAGGCAGCACTGTGCGCGCCCACCTGAGCTCGGCGTTGCCGGCAGAGAGGCGTGGGCGTGGAGACGCAGGCAGTGACTGGCGCTTCTTGAGGCTGCGCTCCCGGGCCAGGGCACTCTTCTCCTTCTCATTTTCCCGCTCCTTGTCCTTCTTCTCCTTTTTCTGCACCTGATAAGGAGGGGGAAGGAGAGCGGGGAGCAGAAGTTGACGGCGCCGCGCTCCCCCGGCCTGGCCGGCTCCCTGCCCCACCCCTGCGTGCCGCCCACTCACCGGCGAGGCTTCAGGCCGGCGGCGGACCTGGGCCGGGCTGCCCCCGGCGCTGGGCTTGCGGCGCTCCCCGCGCTCCCCAGCTGGGGCGCAGCGGTGCACGCTTCGGGGGGCGCTGCTCGGCGGCGTGAGGGGGCTGGCGGAGGCCGAGCGCGGGCACACGGGCACGGCTGCAGAGGGATGAGTGCGGTCGGGGCGCGGCCCACGAGCGAATCTGGCCCCTGCCCCGCCCCTCGTGGGGGCTCTCCCAGGGCCGCTGCCCCTACCCTGATCCCGGCCGTTGCGGGGCAGTGTGACCGCACTGCGACTCCGTGCCAGGAAGGAGAGGGTGGGTGTCATCAGACGGTCCACGATGCTGCTCTCCCACGCGCTGAGCTGCAGGCTGCGATCTAGAGGGAGAATGCCAGAAGCGGGTTACCGCTGGGGGTCGCAGCAGGGAGGCAGAAGCGCAGGGAACTGTCAGGTGCCATCCCCCTGCTAAGCCCAGAGAGGCTTCCCCAGGACCCTCACCCCAGTCCGGTGGAGCCACATTTGTCTGCCCTGGGGCCTGACCTTCACTGCAGACCCAGGCAACAAGATGCTTCCCAGGGCAATGCCCTGCATGGCTTGAGGGCCCCCTCTACCACTTTCCCTAGGTGACAGACCCTGCCCACTCCTGCGTCCCACTGTAGTACCCTGCACCTCCTGTTATCAGAGGGCTGGCTGGGGTTGCATGGCTCCATGGATGGGGGACAGTGAGGGTCCTTGTGCTCCTGACTGAGGGGTGTCCCATGCCAGAGAGAGACTGCTAGGGGACTTGGCTGGCCTGGGCCACCCTGCTCTGTCCCCTCAGCTGCTGGGTTATTTTTAAGCCTCAGTCAGGTGGAGTTGGTACAGCAGCTGATTTGGTTGCTAGGCAACAGAACAACCAAATAAAAGCTGGAGAAACTTATAAATAACTCCTACCATGGCCCCTTCACATATGAGCACCAGGGCATGGTAGGAACACAGGGGCCATGCCACCCTAGTTGCCCACAACTCTGGAGCCAGCTGAGGCCATGGCTAGGGCTCTGAAGGCAGAGAGGGCGGGGTCGTTTGGGCCCCCCAGGGTAGAGCCAGAATAAGGGGCCCGCTCTGCACACACAGCACCCAGGCTAGTCTGGTACTTGGGGGCAAGGCCACCTGCCTAAGGCGGGCCGAGGCCAGCTGGCTGTGGTTGGAGATGAGGTTGCCTGCCCATTCCCACTCTCCACCCCTACCCCCAACACCACCCCCACCCCCACCTCCACCTGCTCTTGAGGCCCCAGCCAGGCCTGCTGTCTGCTGGGACACTGCTCTTTGTCTCTGTTCTCCTCCCCTGCAGGGCACATCTCTGTCCTCAGGGTCCAGACCCATACACCCGGCTCTCCTGAGGGGTGCAGAGCCCTGGGTGGGGTAGAATGGGGATGGAGACCTGGAGTATGTGAGGGCTCCTGGGATCTGGGGTTCTTGCTGAGCTCTGGAAGAGGCTTGGTGGGGGCTACAAGGGGCTCTGGAGGGAGGAGGGCTGGGCCTTCTCTTACTTCTACTGGGGGAGTTCCAGAGCGTGGCAGAGGACTTTGAGAGCCGCTTGTTGATTATAGAGTCCACGTGTTTAGGCAGGTTTACTGCCGACACGGAGCACCTGCTCCCACCTGGAGGGGAAAAGACACGGCATTAGGGCCGGGCCGGACAGGAGCCAGGGGGGGCACTGAGGCCTTCCATGCAGGATGCTCCGCGGGCAGGGTGGGAGAGGGAAGAGTGGGCAGGCTAGGAAGGGGAGGAGAAGGCGGACTTGGCTCTGGGAGGAGGGGATGGGGGATAGGTGACCAGAGACAACCTGGATTGGGGGAGCCAATGGAGAAGGAACAGAGGAAGGGGACGGAGCAGAACTAGAGAAACTATAGCCTTCCTGGCCAGGAAGCCATTCCCTGGGGCTGGGCGCTGCAACCCCTCCCCCACAGCCACCCGGTGTCGGCGCTTGCTGGCACTGCCCTGCCAAGGCGCTATGGCTACCACACCCACGTACCGGGACAAATGCAGACATTCCTAAACAGAAGAACCCCGAGTCACAGTCACTCGCACAAATCCACACGTTCACACGGGCACACAAAGACAAAGACATGCAGGGGCGTGTAGAGTGAAAGGTACACTTCCACATGCACATGTGTGTGCAGACATGCACAGATACAGAAACACAAACACGGACAGATAGTGGGTCGGACCCAGATGCACACAGGCACAAACACATCGAAGCAACTGAATCACGGTATTCGTAACAGCTAACGTTTGTTGGATGCTTACCATGTACCAGGCACTGTGCTGGGCACCACACACATGTTACCTCACTTGATCCTCCCAAACATCTACCTACAACCTCGGAGGCAAGTAGTATCGTTATCCCCATCTTACAGGCGAAGAAAGTGACATCGAGATGTTAGAGGTCACACCGCAAGTGCCAGAGCTGGGATCCTAGCCCAGTTCCGTCTGACTTGGGAGCCCTCACTGAGGTACACAAGGCCATAAACACACCAAGGCAAACAAACAGACGCATATTTTGACGTACAACACACCCATATCCACGAGCACATACACCAGAAGGTCCACAGCTGGAAATACTGGACTCTGCTGTTACATAAAGACATTCAAACACGGTGGTACATACATGCCAGCAAAGAATCAGACCCCAATCCTGATGGCCCGACATGAAGAAAACTCAGAAACACAAATCTGCCGCCCAAGACAGGTACACAAGGGGGTGGTAGTTTTCTTAAATACCCAGTGTCTGCAAGGCATTCAAGTGTTCTTTTCTGTATCATCAACCGATAGTAATAATGGGAGCAAAGAAGGCTAATCTAAAGTGACAGAGGTTTGAAGAGCAAACCAAATGAAGAGAATTCACCTCTGACTTGATAGCAGAAGTCCTCGGGAAGGGACAATTTGGTTTACAAGGTCATTCGAGAAGACACAGGTCGTGTGAAGCAAGGCATACCTGCTGCAGGGTGCTGCCAGCCCCTGGCACCAACGCTGGTCCCTGTCCCCACTCGTCAGGCCCCAGCCCCACCCACCCACTCACTAGGCCCTCCAGCCCACTCACTGGTCTTATGTCCTGGGGAGCTGTGGTGCAGGGCTCCTGCCCAGGACCAGCGCTGCTGCCGGATTTCGGCCCATGTCTTCTTCACTGACCTCTGGATGGCCGCTTCATAGCGCTCCTGGTGGGGAGAGGGGAGAGGAGAGAGGTCTGGGCTCAGAATCATCCATCATACCTGGGAGAAAGGCCCCTTCTCTCGCCTGTGACAAAGGCTCCCCCACCCAAGAAGTTTTCCCTGACTCATTGCAGGTAACCAAGGTTACTGAATGCTTGCTATGATTAAAGGCCATTTGTAACAGATCCCTTCCAACTTGTTCTTGGGGAGCTTTTCACTGTTCTTGAGTCATTTCCTGGATGTATGAGCTGTTTCTCTGAGGATGGGGTGGGACTTCCCCTGCCCTGGGGCTCCCAGGGAGGGCCGTGTCCCCCCTGGCACTGAGGGTCCTGACCTTGGGACTATGTTTTCCCTTTAGCCTGAGGGCCCCCTGGCAAGACCGGGCCACCTTTTCCTTCCTTTCCTCACCAGTGCACAAGCCAGGGCGCTCCTCATGTCCTGGAACTCAGCACACTCACATAGACACGCCTCTGCATACACGCACACACGGGACACACACACACAGACATTCGCACTGACAGCATACCGTTACAGGTGCCCACCCCAGCATGCACAGAACCAAGCACGTCTGCGGCCGCACGGGTGCCCAGATTGTGCGCTCAGGGACATGACGGCAGATACGAACACAGACATTACCGTGTGGGCACGGATGACACAGAGGCATGAACACGGATGTGTGGACACACACACGTGTACACAGGCCATGCGTGCCCGGCCAGAAGTCAGCACGCACGCACCTTGTTTTTCTCCAGCTTCTGCCGCTGCCGCTCCTCGAGGGCCGCGCGGCGTTGCTCGGCTTTGAGCCTCTGCTCCTCCAGCCTCCGGCGGCGCTCCTGGAGCTGCTTCTCCCGCAACGCCTTGGCCTTCTCCTCCTTCTCCAGCCACACTGCTTTCTTGGCCGCTGTGGGAAAGGAGCAAGTGGCCAGTGAGGGTGGGGTGAGAGGTTCTGCTGCAGTCAGGCCAAGCCTGTCTCCTCCAACTGGGTGGCCTTCCCGGTTACTGTGTCCCCGGGTGGGTCTTTCTCCTGCCTGCTTGGGAGGGGAGATGCCTCTGCCCCCAGGCTCCCCCCCCCCCCCCACCAAACTGAAGGGCTTTCTGAAGGCAGGCTCAGGTCTCAGAAGCAAGATTTCCCTGATGGAAGGTCTCTTTCTCCCCCATTGGCCTCACGGTCTCTCAGTGCTAAAGGAGAAATGAGTTCCTTAGGGCCTGTCTGCCTTTGGAGCTGCTGGACATATTTTCATGAATTGTGATTAAAACGCCTGCAGAGCAGGACATAATTGAGGGTGGCTCGGTTGGTTAAGCTTCCAACTCTTTTTTTTTTTTAACGTTTATTCATTTTAGAGACAGAGAGAACAAACAGAGCATCAATGGGGAAGGTCAGAGAAGGAAACACAGAATCTGAAACAGGCTCAGGCTTCTCTGAGCTGTCAGCACAGAGCCCCGACGCGGGGGCTCCCAGGAAACTCACAGACAGATCATGACTTGAGTCACTGTTGCCCATAACCTGACTGAGCCAGGGAGTCAGTTGCCAACCATCCAGGCTCCCCTAAGCTTCCAACTCTTAATTCCAGCTCAGGTCACACGATCTCACAGTCGTGAGATCAAGCCCATGGTAGGCTCGCCCCACTATGTGAGCCTTCATGATTTTCTCCCTCTCTCTCTGCCCCTTCCCCCACCTCTCAAAATGAATAAATTAAAAAAAAAAAAAGAGCACGGGATTGAGGGTGAGGTCAGGCTTCTGGGTCTGAATATCAGGTATTCTACTAGTTGTGCAGCTGAGGAAAATGATTTCACCTCTCTGAGCCTCTGTTTTCCCATCCTCAGGAAGGGTCGAGAGACCCACTGAGATAATGAGATAATGCATGTACTGCTCTTAGCACAGTGCCCGTAATGAAGCATTCAGAAGTGTTAGTGCTGTGGATAAGAGGCTGATGGCGAGGATGGTGGGGATGATGACGCTTCCCCAACACTCACCCAGGTACTTGGCTCGTTCTTCTCGCCGCTCCTTTGCCAGCTTGTGTCTCTCTCCTGCCTTCTTTACATCTTAGACAAGGGAATGAGAACAGACTTAGGTCAGAGGCTCCCCCCAAATGGGGAGTCAGCCTCAGGGCCCTCCCCCAGGCCTCATCCCCACATTGTTCCCCATCTCCTCCTGGGCCCAGGAGATTCCGTCCAGTGGCATCATCCATGCCTGGAAGCCCGAGCCAAGGAGTTGGGCCCAGGACTGGGCACATCGTACATACCTTGCCTGGTGGGAGGGCTGTCAGAGGCTTGCACCGCCGTCGGGGATGGCTGGCTGCTCCTTCGAGGAGGTCTGGAATCCCGGGGGCCTGTGGCTGGTGGGGTGGGTCCCCTGCTCTTCCCTTCTGAGGAAGGGGATTCTTCCTGCTGGGGGGCTGATCTAGGCCCCACTGGCCCTGTGGGGCTCTCTGGTTCCAGTGGGAGCTGCTTAGAGCTAGCGGCACTCTTCATGGCAGGTGGGGTGTCTGGGGGAGTGTCAGGGACCAGGGTTGACATCGGTGGTGGTGGCGGCGGTGGGGAGGGGTCACCTTCAGGAGAAGGTCTTGGCTCTGGGGGGGTCCTGGCTGCCACAGCTGGAAGACCAACACAAGAGGAGAGAGAGAGTGAGATAGCACAGCCGTGCCCTCAGTCCAACACGGAGCTCTCTCCCTCGTCCAAGTGACTCCTCATTCATTCACGCAACATGTTTATTGCGTTCCTTCTGTGTACCAGGCCCTGGTCCAGATACTAATGATATCGTGCTGAGAAAACAGCCATGGTCCCTGCCTCCGTGGAACCTACCTTCTAGCAGGTAGACAGATAAATAGCTAGGCAATTACAGCATAGAATAAGTAAGTACTATGTCGGAGGGTAACCCAGCAGAGATGGTTAACCTGCATTTAGGGGGCTTCCTGAAGAAGTAACAACCAAGCCAAGAGCTAAAGGGTGACCTGGAGTTGGCAAAGCCAAGGGGAGAGGGTTCTGGCAAAGAAAAGAGTATTTGCAAAGGAGCAGGAGGGAGCAGGGTGTACTGGAAAAACTAAGAGAAAGTTGGTAGCACTCGTTGGTGCACCAAATGGTCACATCTGCCTCCCGCCTCTTCCTGCTTCACTTCGGGGTCACGGTGCCCAACCCAAGGCCTGGTACACAGAAGTGCCAGTGCTGGGCACAGGGGACTGGCCAAGAGGAAGGCCATGAGTCTGGGCGCAAGTGGGAGGCCATGTTGCTAAAGCCCCAATGTGGGGGCGGGGCAACCAGCTACTTTCACTTTGTAATCTTTTTTTCCTTTCCCAAACACACATAGATTTCTTCTTTTAAGATAATAGTATTTCAGGGCGGCTCAGTCGGTTGAGCGTCTGACTTCAGCTCAGGTCATGATCTTGCAATCCGTGAGTTCCAGCCCGCTTCGGGTTCTGTGCTGACAGCTCAGAGCCTGGAGCCTGCTTCGGATTCTGTGTCTCCCTCTCTCTCTCTCTGCCCCTCCCCTGCTCATGCTGTGTGTGTTTCTCTCTTTCAAAAATAAATTAACATTAAAATAAAAAAATTTTTAAGACAATAATATTTCAAGATCCCTGTAAAAGACAGCACGGTGCCAAGTAAGGAAGCCACATGATTTGGTATGTACGTGGATATGCACGCATGTGAGCACATGCATGTTATGGAGAGTGGAGAGACAGGTTTTGGAATCAGTCAGATGAAGGCCCAATTCTGATTTTACCACCCCAACACAGGAAAGGAGGGCATGCTTCCCCAGCAGGTAACCTTGGGGAAGCCATTCAACCTCTTTAAGTCTCTGTTTTCCTATCTGTAAAATGGGGATAATGAGCCCAAGCTAGTAGGGATGTCAATGAAGCACCTGGCATGATTCACGTGCCAGCAAACACTTCCTGCCCTTTCCCTGTGGGTCACATAAAGCTCTGCAAAAAGTCCTGTTGACATCTGCTGCTACCCTCTGAGCGCTGAAGGGAACAAAGGGATACAGCCACTGAACCTGGGCTTAGAGAGCAGGGAGCACGGGAAGGTGAGTCTAAGGAAGCATTTTTCGCTCTTACCAGAGCAAACTACCAGACCAAGTGCTCTCCTCTGGGAAATCTGGCCCTCTCAGGAGGTGGCAAACTCCCCATCTCTGTGGGTGACAACGTGTGTGTAGGGAGAGGACACTCCCAAGGAGTCACGTTTGGGACTGTGGGTACCTTTTCCAGGGAGACAGGTATCCAGTGACTGAATGTGAGCTCTGAAGGCAGACTATCTGAATGTGAATTCTGGCTTCCCCATTAACTGTGTGACGTTGGGCTAGTTACACACCCTCTCTGTGCCACAGTTCCTGTGGGGATAGTACCTACCTCGCAAGATTGTGATTTTAGTGCTAACGATAACCTTTTAACAGTTACGTATATTTTAAGAGCTTCCTGTATTCAAAGCAGTTTACAGATACTCGTTTTAGTCCTTACTGAAAATACTTAGGCGGGAGACACTATAAATATCTTTTTTACGGATGGGAAAAAGTAAAGCAATTTGAGGTCACTCAGCTGGTAAGTGAAGGAGTCTGGACTTGAACCCGGCACCTGTCACCAGCGTCCGTGCTCTCAGCAATCACAGCCTCCTGTCTCTGTTTAAGGCAGTACGAAGTTGGGGCGCCTGGGTGGCGCAGTTGGTTAAGCGTCCGACTTCAGCCAGGTCACGATCTCGCGGTCCGTGAGTTCGAGCCCCGCGTCAGGCTCTGGGCTGATGGCTCAGAGCCTGGAGCCTGTTTCCGATTCTGTGTCTCCCTCTCTCTCTGCCCCTCCCCCGTTCATGCTCTGTCTCTCTCTCTTATTTATTCTGTCCCAAAAATAAATAAACGTTGAAAAAACAAAAAAATTTAAGGCAGTACGAAGTAGTATGTGTTATGCAACCAAATCTGAGGATCACAGTTTTCCCCTCATTCCTTCCCTTGTAGCTTCCTAGGCTCAGGCGAGAGCCCCAGCAGAGGCCCTGTGTCCCTAAGGGCCCATAAAAGTCTGCCAGCCTCTAGGCTCCGTGACGGCCCACCCAGCTTTCCCCACACCAGCTTCGGAAGGCTGCCTGGCCACTATTAGTCTACTTCCCAGCCACCCACAAACTCCTTTCCAACTCCAGTGGGCAAGAAAATTAGCAGCTATCCCTCAGTGCTTACTGCATCCCAGGGACTAAGCTAGCCCTCTGCATCCCTATCCTGCATCCTTATATGAGCTCTGAGAGGTAGAGATTCTTACCCCCATTATACAGATGAGACAGTCAAAGCTTATCCCACCAAGTGATTTGCCCAGGGTCACAGAAATAGCATGTGGCATGGGAATGCAAACTGGTGCAGCCACTCTGGAAAACAGGATGGAGGTTCCTCAAAAAATTAAAAATAGAACTACCCTATGACCCAGCAATTGCACTACTAGGCATTTATCCAAGGGATACAGGTGTGCTGTTTCGAAGGGGCACATGCACCCCCATGTTTATAGCAGCACTATCCACAATAGCCAAGTGTGGAAAGAGCCCAAATGTCCATCGATGGATGAATGAATGGATAAAGAAGATGTGGTATATATATACAATGGAGTATCACTCGGCAATCAAAAAGAATGAAATCTTGCCATTTGCAACTATGTGGATGGAACTGGAGGGTATTATGCTAAGTGAAATTAGTCAGTCATAGAAAGACAAAAATCAATGACTTCACTCATATGAGGACTTTAAGAGACAAAACAGATGAACATAAGGGAAGGGAAGCAAAAATAATGTGAAAACAGGGAGGGGGACCAAACATAAGAGACTCAAATATGGAGAACAAACAGAGGGTTACTAGAGGGGTGGGGGAGGAGGGATGGGCTAAATGGGTAAGGGGCATTAAGGAATCTACTCCTGAAATCGTTGTTGCACTATATGCTAATTTGGATGTAAATTGAAAAAATAAAATTAAAAAAAAAAAAAGAAAAATAGTGTGTGGCAGAGGCAGGATTTGAACCCAGGACCATCTGGAGCCAAAAAGCTTAGGTGTGTGAAGTACTCAGCTTGAAGGCTGAGGGTGAGGCCTGTTTACTGTCATTCTTCTAGCATCTGTGCGTGCTATGGGTGTTGCAAGGAAAACTGGTGGGTGGATGTTTGTCTACACCTAGGCAAATCACACCCACCAGGCAAGACAGTGAATCTCCAACTAGGTCCTGAGTAGCCGGGTGCAGCTTGAGAGGAGGTGGAGGGATGAGGCCTGGGAGGACCGGCCCTCAAGTGTCAGATGCAGTGGAGTAGAAAGATCTTAGGCTTCAGAGTCAAATAGGCCTGGGTGGGAAATCCCAGCTCTGCTGTGGAACCTGGGGAAAGCCCTGAGCCTGTCTGAGCTGCAGTTTCCCCACTGAGATGTTGGTTCCAACAGCGAGTGGGTACATCATCTCGGGCACCTGGCAGGGGCTCAAGAAACGGCACCTGCCCAGAAGACTCTGTCCACTTCTCCCAAATCTCTGCTACAAGAGTCTGCTTGGGTCAGGCCTTCACCCCTGCTGCTCCATGACACTGCTCTTCTCAAGGCCACCAATGACCTCCACACTGTGAAAGCAGCAGCCGTTTCTCAGTCCTCGGTTTGCTAACCTGTGGGCTGCATTTGACACAGATGATCCCTCGCTGCTCCTTGAACACTTTCTGCACTGGGCTGTGGAGACAACACACTTTTCCTGGCGTTCCTTCTACCTTGCTAGCCATTGACTCCTCAGTCCCTTTTGCAGATCCGTCTTTAATTGCCTAACCTCTTAGCGCCCGGTGCCCCGGGGCTCAGTGGAGGAGTTCATCTCTTTTCCATCTGCATGTACTCCCTTGGTGACCTCATCCAGACTCATGGCTTTAAATACCATTGCTCTGCTGATGACAACCGAGTTTGTATCTCCAGCCCAGACCTCTCCCTTGAGTTCCAGTTTCGCTCATATAGGGTGTCAACTCCCTATTTGACACCCCTGCATGTCTTACAGACACCTCGGCTTTAACACATTCCCACCTGAGCTCCCGATCTTCCTCCCAGAACCCTGCTCCTCCCCGTTTCCCCCATCTCAGCCAAGGGCAACTCCGTCCTCCCAGTCTGTCAGACCAAAAGTCTTGGGAGTCATTGTAGAGTCTTTTCTTATCTCACATCCCACATCTAATCTCTCAGTAAATCTTTCTGGCTCTGTGTGCAAAGTATGTTCTGAATCCAATCACTTCTCACCATCTCCACTTCTATCATCTTGGTTCAGCCACTGTCATCCCCTATAAAGACTCCCTGCTGGGGTGCCTGTCTGGCTCAGCGGGCAGGGCTTGCAACTTGATCTCAGGGTTGTAAGTTCAAGCCCCATGTTGGGTGGAGAGATTGATTTAAAAAATAAAATCTTTTCAAAAAAAAATTTTTTTTAACGTTTATTCATTTTTGAGACAGAGAGAGACAGAGCATGAATGGGGGAAGGTCAGAGAGAGAGGGAGACACAGAATCTGAAACAGGCTCCAGGCTCTGAGCTGTCAGCACAGAGCCCGACGCGGGGCTCGAACTCACGGACCACGAGATCATGACCTGAGCCGAAGTCAGACGCCCAACCGACTGAGCCACCCAGGCGCCCCTAACAAA